TGTTTATAGTAATAAGAGGTTATTAAAGTTAACTATAAAAAAGACTTTTTAATTTAGTAGTATAGTAACCTAGTATATAGCTTAGACTTAATATTTAACTAGTGTTAGTTGTTGTATGATCTAGACTAGTACTATAAGGTTATATGTAGATTAGAAGGTAACTTATAAAAATATAAAGTTAATCTTGACTCTGTGTTTAATGTAGAATGGTATGCTTAACAATAGTCTTAGGGCTAAGTAGTTAATAACCTTAGTTTTTATATAGAAGTATTTATCTATAGGATTATTAGCTATAGTACTAGGGATATAGAAATTAAAGGAGACTTTTCTTTTGACTTAAACGCTTACCTTGATTCTATTTAGTGTATACTAGTGATTATGATTCTACTTTGTGTTTTGTGTAAACGTGGTAATCTAGGTGTAGTCTATAAGGGTTACTATACTCTCTATATTAAGGTATACTTTTATTGTTTATTTCCTTAGGTCTAATATAATACTAAGCCTTATATATATTACTACTATTAGGTTATTAAGGATATCTAGTTATAGGTTAGCCTTTATAATCAGATAATCTTAGGCTATATAATAGATGCTTTTACTGCTTTTAGCGTTTAGTAGTAGGGTAAGGCTTTTTTTAATACTAAAGGTACTACTAGTAAAGGAGTTATATGTATTAAACTTGTTAGTTTATTTCTTGTGGTGTATAATTTGATGAAGTTTGTTGCTGATTTTAGAGGGTTATTATTATCTTCTTTGTCCTTGTCTTTGTCTCTAACCTAGTATTCTTAACTTATTAGGTTACTAGTAACCTCTTTAGCGTCTAGGTTATTCTTGTAGATTATACTCTTAACCTAGTAAGTATTAACGCTTATGTCTATATTCTTAATATATAGTTTCTATAGCTGTTATGTTTAGTGAGGGTAGTGGAGAGGGGGTTACTGCTAGTCTTAGTTGCTAAATTGTTGCTCTTAGCGTATAGGTTAGTATAGTAGCTAATTTTGTATACCTAGTAATAGGTATTCTTAGCGTTAAGGTTAGCTATAATCCTTCCTGAATTCTTATTACCTTAGGTATTTCTGCTTTTCCTATAGCTTTACTTATTATCTTTATAGCTATATCTTATAGTTATACAGTTAGTATTTAGCCTTATCTCTATAATATATACCTTTATTATCCTTTTTACTATTCTCTTCTTAACCTACTAGGCCTAGGTCTAAAAAGTAAATTATTAGCTTTATTTTTTCTTTAAATATATCTTAAAGTACCTACTATTTTTCTTTAGCCTTAACAAGGTATATATTAATTATATTACTTTTTTATAGCTTTAGATATAGTAAGTATAGATATAAATATAACGTTAATCTAAAATAAATAAGTAGTTAGAGGTTAATAACGTCTCTTTATGCTTTAGTATAAACAAAAGCTATTATAGTAAAGGTCTTAATTAGTTTCCTGTTAAGGTTATCCTAGGCTATATATAAGTATATATTAAACTAATCTTTAGTAGTACTTAGATATAAACTAAAGACTTTCTTTAAGGCTATAAACTAGTTATTAAGACTAAGGGTAAGTGTAACTTACTTAATAGTAGAGAGTTATTTTTAATACTAGACAATAACAGCTTTCTACAGAAGTTTAAATAGCCTTTAGTGTAAAGTATTCTTTATAGATTTTATTATAGCTTTTATTATAACTAACTATATTTAGAGGTTTATATTATAGTAATAGACCTATTTTTTATTAAAAAATACTTTTTTTTTAAGGAATTTATTATATAAGGTGTTAAGCTAAAAGATTTTATATTTTGTTAATCTTTATACCTAAGTAGTTACTTGTAAGGATAATGTTATTATTACTAGGGTTAGTGTGTTTAACTATATATTGTGAAGAATATTAGTAAACTTACTAATAAGTTATGTAAGTGTAGCGTCTAAGGTCTTGGTCTGCTAGACTATATAGGTTGACCTTGGCGTATCTTAGGGTTCTTTTGTTGTTGTTAGTAAGGGGCTACTTAGGCGAATAAAGGTCTAGTGATCTTCTGTTTTGCTTGTTAGTTCTTGTGTAAAGTTAGTGCTAGTCAAGGGTATTAAATATAGTGAAGACCTTGCTTTGTCCTTTAATGATCCTAATATGCCCCTAGTTATTAGAAATAGTAGTAAGGCTAAGTCTTTTAGCTAAAAGGGGGTTTAGTGTTATCTTTGTAGTAGGTTACTTGCCTTGTGATCTATAGCTACAATAATAGTCCTAGGCTAGTTGCTTAGGCTACTTTGGTCCTCTAAGATTAAAGACATATTACTAATTATGTCTTTGTTTCTAAGGAGCTTATCTTGGTGTGTAAGCTAAATAATCTGCTTTGCTGTTTATAAGTGTCTCTTAATTTCTCTTTTAAGATTCTACTTAGGAGGGTATAATAGTAAGATATAAGCTTTATTATTAAAAAAGGGGATCTTATATTATTTATTATTAAGGTTAATACGCTAAGATACTATAGATAGTTAAGTATAGTTCTATTAGAAGCTATCTAAGAGACTATAAACTAATAGTTTATCTAGCTTTTATTTAATAAAGCACTATATATAATAGATATCTTAGATATAAGTATAAGTTAGTTATATCTTATAGTATAAAGTTAGTTTAAAAATTTTGCTTTTTAATTTGTTTAGTTAAGTACCTACTGCTATTGTTATAGTAGTAATAGTATAGTTAGCTTAATTAATAAGAGGTATTTAAGTGTATTTATAAGGTTTTAGATTTAACTATAATATTTTAGTCCTTTAGGTCTTATTGTTAGCTATGCTTGATGTTGGTGTTAGTGTAATGGTATATAAGGTAAGTTGTTATATTATTGCCTTTATTAAGCCAAGGTTTGCTTTTTAGTTGTCTACTTTAATAAGAGATGAGATTTGTATAGCGAATTTGTTTCTTAATAAGAGCTAAGGAATAAAGTAGAAGGTTATACTATTACTTGTTACTTTTCTGGTAAGGTAAGTCCTTCAGAGGAGTAGTTAGATTTATTATATAGTCTGACAGACCTTGTAGTTAATGTAGTGAACCTGCTTTACTAAAGATAAGATCTAGAAGATAAAGGTAAAAGAAGTTAATTCCCTTAATAACCTTGTAAAAGGTCTACCTTATATAGTGGTAGACCTCCCGTGTTTATTAGTAGGGGTAACATTAGAGGTCTATATTTTAAGGGTTATTAATTTAATTATAGATTTATTATATATTATTATTAGTAATTAAAGCTAATCTAGGTAAATAGCTAGTAAAGGCTTTTTTTATATAAGTATATTTAAATAAAGGCTAATAGTATAAATAGTTATAAATATATATTTTATTTAAGTTCTTTAGTAAAAAGTAATATATATTATTTTTAGTTAATATAATAAAATAATTTATTAAAGTTATATAAATACTAGGCTTTTTTTTATAGTATTTTATTATTAATAAGTCTTTTTATAAAATATTAGTTAAGATTATTATATAGTTATTTAGGTTTTTAATTAAAAAGCTTATTATTTTATTTTAAATAATTTTTATAAGTTTATAAGTTACTTAAAATAAAGTAATTCTATATAATATTACTTTTAGAAAAGTTTTTAAAGTAAAAGTACTTTAGACTTTTAATAAGTCTAAGATTTTTATATAAAAGTAAGAATTTTATTATTTTATTAACTAGATAAATAAGTTAATACTTAAAGCTATTTAATCTAATAAAACTAAATATTCTTTTTAAATAATAGTTTAGTTAAATAAGTTACTTAATATATATTATTATTTAAAAATCTTAAGTATTAAATAAAGTATTATTTAGTTTTATACTAAAACTTTTATCTAAGTTAGCTTAAAGAGTAATTTAGTAATTAATATTTTTATTTATATATTAATTATATTAAATACTTTTTTTTATTATTTTTAAATAGCTTTTTTTATATTAGTATTTAAGATATATATTTAATATATAACTTTAATATTTAAATTAGTTATTATTAAAAGAAGTTTATTATTAGTTTATTTAAGATTTATATTAATAATAAATTTATTAAAAGTAAAAATCCTTAAAGCATTTAAGATTTTATTAAAATATTTAAGTTTATTTTTATTTATTTATTTAAGTTTATTTAAGTTAATAAATTCTTAGATATACTTTAACTTTACTTTAAGCTAAAAAGTTATATATTATAAAAGCTAATTATTTTATATCTTAAGCTTTTTTATAGCTTTAATAAAAATAGATATATTAGAGATATTAGTTTAAAAGAATAGAGATAATTTATTTAAAAGAGATTTTTTAGTTTATAGTATACTCTAAATATAATAGTTTAAAAATATAATATAAGCTAAGCTTATAACTATTATAAAGTTATTATTTAAGGTAAAAAAGATATAAGGAAAATAGCTTAGATTTCTATGTGTAGGATTACTTTGTCTAAAACAAATAAATATGTATCCTGTGTAGTGGATCTGTATAAAGGGACTGGACTAATAGTTAATCTGGGCCTGGCGCAAATCTCACAAGGCTGCGCGATGCGCGTGAGGGCATTGCGACAGAATCAGAAGAGGAGGAGTAGAAAATCTTATCGAACTGGGAAGAGACCATTCGAATATGGGGAAACAAATGTCAGCGAAAGTCCCGTTCCTGAACAACAATGCCCATGTACCCCGCATTCTGCCATTCCTGTTCTGTTCTGTCACAGGTGCCTGGCTCCCGCATCACGTTGTTTTACTAGTAAAAGGGTTTCCACATGCACCATTGTACCTTTATGTCAGTTTACCGAATGACTCTGGTCTAGTTTTTGGGGATTGATGTAGCACCTGAGTATAACCGCTTCTAGTAGATCTTCCATCCTTCCAAGAAATATGCGTAGTGCAGCGACCAGAACTTGTGAAAATTTACTTCTACAATGGTCAATATCCCAACATTTGAGCCGTAAGAAGCGCACCATGTTTACAAACACCCGGCACAAGATACATAGTCACCATGATGCGAACTTGTATCATTAGTCCACAGTCCACTTCCTCTCCCATCCTCTGAAGAACGGGGCCTCAGGTAGAGTATGTGTCACCCAATCCCTCTCGATTACACTGTTTTCAAGTTGGTACTTCTCATACTCCTCCAATGCTGGTTTTGCAACGTGCTCCACATGCCATGTACCTTTGTACTTGAGAATGCTCTCTTTACCCTCATTGAGGACTTTGAGCACTATGGATGGAATATACGGCTCATCCTTAAACTCGCTTAGAGGGGTGAACAGAGCTTTGAAGTTGAACACGATGGCGCCCGATAGGGGGAGGCGACGTAGCGTCTGCCAGTCGACCCGTAGATAGACATCCTCTGGCTTCAGCTGGGGATTTTGAGATTCTCGATGAGAAAACTCTGGGTCCTCTGATGGCAGGAATAGAGGTTGGCCCATTTCAAGGCCCCATGATCCTCTTTGAATTGGCTTGTTTGTCGGCATCTTGGTGAAGAACCTGAAGCCAGATAAGTGAGGGTGAATGCTAGTGTGCGTTGATCCTTACCGGTCCATGCTGAACTCCATCTTCTCCCTGTAATCTGGAACAGGCTTGTGAATACCAGGGAGCCCCATCCCCATCTTCTCACTGATCTTCCAACCGACAGACGAGCATACCATGCCAGCTCGCAGAACATATCGGCCCGTTTTGTGGTCCCGGATCATGATGCCAAAGTCTTCGGGGACGTTGTTCAGCAGCACAACGAGTGGTTCGGTTTTCGAGAGATCGGTCGTGGTTCCCAGAATATTGTTGACCAGAATGGTGCCATCGCGCTTGAACTGGTTTGGATACCTCGCACAGATGAACTGGATGACCATCTCCATGAGCTCTTTGCAAGCAAGCTCTGAGCCTGGCAAAGCTGCCAAAACACCTTCACCATTCTTGGCGTACAGCTCTTGACGCTCGACGATTCGGTTCCTGTAGGTGTTCTCAAGCTCGATCCAGAAGTCTGTGTCCATCCTTGACAATGCTTATAGCTTAAACGTAAGCTCTAGTTCGCGCCGTATGAGTTGCTGTCACTTACACATGGTTTGATGGTAAGCCCATCTGAAAGGTCGATACGGACGTGGGACCGCCTTGTCGATGTTGAATTTCTTCAGTGGTGATGGTAAGGGAACGCCTGAGAGTGTTGCATAGTCAGGGAAGTCACCGAGAGACTGGATATCGGCGATGCTGAACCCGCTGAAGTTGAATTCGTTGAGACTGGCTGTGCGGTAGTCGGCCTCCAGTGTGAGGAGGGGCTTCCGCGTTGTGGCAAGGTCAACCTCCTTCACGTCTGCATATTGAGGCCCGAGCTCCGCGAGTTTGGCTCTCTGGGATGGCGGAAACGAATTCACATAACTCGGGTCCTGCCCTGCTTTGACCGGAGGTTTCTCGGTCGGGTGGCTGAATGAAGGAGCGCGACGGAATTTGGAAAAGACTTTGCGACTGTCAATGAAGACACTGACAAAGTAGACTAGACTGCCAGTGAACGCAGCAATGCCAAGGATCGCTGTGGCGGCCCTGTAGTCGCCGGATTCAAGGGTGAAAAACATCATGAAAGAGGATCTGTTATACGCAGCTACTCAGCAATGGTTCGTACGCTTCCCTGATGAAGCTGAGGGATAAGTATCTACAGGTCATGGAAACCTCATTGTCTGTCAGACTGTCCGCTATCGCAGGTTACCAGATGATACAGATGCATTGGGCAGATTTAGCCAGCCATAGTCATGCGCAGTTACCCAACCTTCCGTACGCTAATTACAGTATGTTACAGTCCGAACACGCAGACGGCCTCCTTCACACCACCCCGGAAGCGGAAGGAATATACGGTGTGAACTCAAATGATCTGGTGTGGGTGAGTCTAACCCCTTTCGTTTAATCTACCCGGCCGCCTCTTCTGCCCACTGAAGATGCCGCGATAAGAAACATGAACATTGGGTGCGGGATGACCCCGCTTGATGACGACCGTCCCCCGGCTGTGCCCGCTCCTTTCGGCCGCTCAATGCTGACGCCGCAGCGACCGCGCAGGCTCTACGCTGTCAAGGTTCCCTTGCATGATTTGCTATCAAGAAACATTGAGCTGTCTCATTGCTGAGCCATCGACCACCTACACTAGCCGACGGGAGGATTGTATGTCTCATGACGCTATGCCGGGTACCTCCCTTTTTCATGTGTACGGTATGAGTTGACGTCGACAAACATATCTCTTCTCCTTTGCCTTGAATCCATTGGTGAGGGTCGTGCGTCCACTTCCAGGAATTTGGCCCGGTGATTTTGACAGGTCAATCCACTGATCTTCCACCCTTGCGTTCCCCCAGCAAATACCACGGTATGTTGTCCGGGGACCTAGCTCGATGCTTCCTGGTTCAAGTAGGAAGATAGCCCTTTGCTGTTTTAACAAAGCTCTGCAAGCTTGAACGGCCAATCACTGAGCTTGTCCTTATCTGTATATCGAAGGTGATGGGAGCCAAGACCATAGTGAGCATGCTTAATTTTGCTACAACTTTCGGCTTTTGTCGCAACCTTATCCGAGATTTGAACTGAAGCACTGGAGCCAAGTGATAGCTACCAGAAGCATGGTACCACTGCACCATGGCTGGCGTTGAAGAATTGAGAGATTTAAGCACGTGGTTCCCAGGCCTTTCGCTGAGTGCACATCTGACTGGTTCCGCGGTTCTGATCCTTTAGCAAAAAGAAATCCGCGATCACGTAGTATTTGACAGCCTGTATGGTACTACTCGCTCATTTCATCTCGTAGAAATCATGGCGGAAATTATCCCGGTGACGGAGTTCCCGGATTATGCCGTCGATCCAACAGGCGGCAACCCCATCACACATGATCTCAATGCACCCTATGACAAGGTGAGTAACTCTAGGCAGTGCCGCGAAAGCTCTGGACGCTACGGCACCAACTTCTTGTGAGACTTACGCGTCTACTAACCGGTTCAACAATCTGTAGGGTGACCTCTGCTGGATGCTAATATGCACAATCTTGTGCTGGCAGATTACGCCAGCAATTGGCTTCCTCTACGCCGGGATGCACCGCAGAAAGGCTGCATTGACAATGGTCCTACAGTCTCTGTTCTGTGCTTGTGCATGCGGTCTGCAGTATTGGATATACGGTGCCTCGCTTTATCAAGCACGAACTACGAACCCCATTCTTGGCGATTTGTCACAAGCAGCCTTCCACAATATCTTAGCCTCTCCGTCTTTTGCGAATAGTGATATTCCTGATATCCTATGTAAGCAAACCACTCAAATTTTCCAAACGATACCTTGAAAATTTTGACTTACACAACTTCGCACTAGACGCAGCTTTTGGGTTTACCTTTGTTACGGCGACGGCCATGATCTTGGCCGGCGCTATGCTTGAGCGTGGTCGCCTTGGGCCCAGTATGCTCTTCATTCTTTGCTGGAACACCTTCGTTTACTATGTGTACGTCTTGATACATTCGAGCTCCCTGCATAGTCAGAAAAAGATAGTCTGACCCTCTTTAGCCTTGCATACTGGGAATGGAATCCCAGCGGCTGGCTCTATCAGCTTGGTCTTTACGACTTCGCCGGCTCTGGGCCGGTACACATTGCCAGCGGCTTTGGAGCTCTTGCATGGTCCATGATGCTGGGCCCCCGTATCGACGACAGCAACACAACGAACAAGAGACACGTGCCGCACTTCAAAGCTCACAGCCCGCTGCTGATGACCCTCGGCACCGTTCTCATTTGGTTTGGGTGGTTTGCCTTCAACGGTGGTAGCACGGCCAATCTTAGCCTGCGGTCTATCTATGTTGTTGTAAACACCAACTTCGCTGCCTGCGGCGGTGGTGTTGCCTGGGTTTTGTTGGACTACATCTATATCAGAAAGTTCAGCTTAGTCGGCTTTTGCTCTGGTATTATCTCGGGCTTGGTTGGAATAACCCCAGCAGCTGGCTTTGGTATGTGATGAGATTCACTTCTATCCTAAATTGGCACCAACCTCGAGCTAACATGTAACCATCAATAGTGCTCGTCTATGTATCACCTCTGGTCGGCATGCTTACCGCAGTCTGCTGTTTCTACACAGTTCGGTACTCGTACCTCCTCCGAGTAGACGATGGCCTCGACATCTTCGCGATTCACGGCGTTGGCGGCTATGTCGGTGACATATTGACCGGCATCTTCGCCAACAAGATGGTTCCTGCTCTGGACGGAGTCAGTGGAGACACATACCTCGGTGGTTGGTGGAACGGCAACTTCAGACAACTGGGTTTACAGCTGGCTGGCGCAACGACTTGTGCCGCCTGGTCCTTCTTCGTCTCATGCATTTTGCTCTTCGCCATCAACAAGATCCCGGGTATGCATCTCCGTGCTACTGAAGAGGACGAGATACGAGGTCTTGACTTCGCATATATCGAGGATGCTATTTCAGACTACGATGATGGCAACATGATCATTCATAATGGTCAAGCAGTCGAGACACCCAGACCTGCCAGTTACTCCAAGAGTTCTTAGAGATGTTTGATTCAGACATGCAGACTTCTGTAGCATTTCATATATTTTTAATCGCACAAAACCGGGTATTTTCAACGCGATACGTTTATGTTCCAGGCGTCACTGAAGCTTGATAATGTCACCAGCCAGACATGGAAAGTTGTCCGGGGTGCTTGGCTTGATGGGATTAAAACTGCACCTCAGCTTTGTCAGTCGACTAGGGTTATATGTATCCTTATACACCTATGTCCAAGTAACGACTGGGTGTGTTTAATCAAGAGGATCCCGAAGTTTCGAAACGGCAATGCGGGGTCCCTCAGTATTGCAACTGACGTTTTACCCTTTACTACAAGGATGCCTTCGACGTAATCGGAGAGCTGACTTTTGGCAAGCAGCTTGGCTTCCTGGATTGAGGTACAGATGGCGGAAACGTTATGCACTCACTAGAAGCGATGCTCGATTACTCTGGAAAGGTAGGTTGTGTTTAGTCAATTCCCCTCATTTCGACACTGACAGTCAATTTCGACGCAAGATTGGACAAATTCCTTGGTTGGATCACTTATTCAAAAAGAATCGCCTAAAACGCGTCCCTGGGGATGGTTCAACTGGAGCTGCTGCGCAGTTCGCACATCAATGCATGCAAGAACGTCTCGACCACCAGGGAATAAACCGAGGGAAGCAAGTCCACCGAGATTTTCTCATTTTCTTCCTGGAAGCGAAACAGACTCATCGCCAAGTCGTCGATGACCGCCAAGTGTTCTCTTGGACCTTGAGCAATGTCAATGCTGGATCTGATACGACGGCAATTGCGCTCCGAGCGGTGCTTTACTTCTTGCTTAAGCACCCGGATGTATATAAGAAAGCCAATGAAGAGAATGTGGGCGCACGCAAAGGAAGGCTGTCATTGCCGGTGACTTGGAAGGAGAGCCAAAATCTGCCGTACATGAACGCTATAGTTAAAGATGCCCTCCTAGTTCATCCCACGGTAGGCCTGCTGCTGGAGAGGATCGTGCCCAAGGGAGGTCTTCAACTACCCAATGGGCCGTTCTTACTGTAAGGCACGGTTGTTGGCATCAACCTCGTGCCATGCATCGTCACCCAGCCTTTGGCGACAAGCTCGGCTCGTTTATACCGGAACGCTGGCTTCAGGGAAAGTCCGAGTTAGACCTGAAGTACGAAGCTAGAAAGTCAGCGATGCAGAGTGCCACGTTCACATTCGGCGCCGGACCGCGCACTTGTATTGGCAAGAATGTCAGTTTGTGGAGATATACAAGGCAACTCCAACGCTCCCTCCTGTTCACCTGTGATGTGAGTAAATCACACCTCAGTGATGCAGAACTGGAAGAACGTTAATGGTTTTTAGATGGAGCTGAAGTATCTATCCTAACGGAAGCTGGAAAATCTTCAATTCGTGGTCCGTTAGGCAAAAGGACATCCGAGTCATCTTAAAAAAGGTCAAGAGGACTTGAGTTGGTCGGCCACAAATATAATCTTTGATGGTGATATTAATTTACCCGGCCTTGAATGGCTTGATGGAGTTCTGTGCGCTGTGAAACCCGAGAATGACGCTTAACAAGCAATTGTGGGTAGGCTATTAAGAAGATGCGAGCACGCGACTATGGAGTGACTGGCGTTGAGTTGAGAAATTGTTTCCACGGCTATGCTGTGACAGGCCAAATAATCGTTGTTGAAATCCAGACATACGCAGTAGAGCACGGAAGCGGAGGGGGACACTGGTCAACCTTTTTCCAGCACCCAATTACCCACACTGAAAAGTCGAAGTAACGCATTTCGGGCACAAAAACACAAGCCGCTCCGCACTGGTCCAGCGCAAAGCGACGCAGGTAACAGTCCACCAAGTTCAGAACGGAACTTGCACGGTTGGCCTTGGAAGTGCAGAAAGAGACTAGACTGAGCTATTGAGTATAAAAAGAGCTCTTATGTCTGGCGCGAGCATCTATGCAAAGCCGCATAGGACAGAAGATCGCCTGGGGAAACCTTGAGAGTCGACCGGGGGATGAGGCCGTTCCCGCCCCGTAAAGTGGTTCTCCAGTTCACGCTCAGCCCAAGCCAAAGCAGGTTACAGTGATTACGTGTACAACTCGCGGTTGACTCCCTCGCATCATCAATTCCGTGAACCACACCTCAATCACATCACCCTTTTATGGCCTTCTCAGAGAAAAGTTTGCTACGTCATGGAGTCTCAGGTCCAAAAACCACTCGGGCAGAAGAGCTATTTGCCTCTTATTAACAAGGTCGACAAGTATGTCACTAACACTCAACCCTCCGCCACCATTATCCCGTCACTGACCCAGCCTCAGTGTCCCCTTGGACTTCGACTTCAACACGCTTTACAAACTCATGCTCCCCAAAGATGTCAGGCCACATGGCTTCATGGTTCCGAGCACGGTCGAGCGACTCCCCTGGACCTCGGACTTTCGCATCAATCACGATGAACGCAAAGTCTGCCTTCTCGACATCACTAGTGAGGACGGCGAGGACCCCGGCAAGGCTTGCACCGCTGCATTCCAGCGCGTCGTCGACGCCGCTATCGCATCTGACTCTTTCCCCACATTGAACAAAATGCATAGTGAGCATTTTAGGATCCTCGGCGCCAACCACTTCATGTCGATTGAGCGGTTTCCCGCCCCGCTGTTCGGAATCTCATCGCGTGGCGCACACATGACTGCATACGTAAAGACCAGCAATGGTTTGAAAATTTGGGTGCCGAGACGCAGCGCGCACTTGTTCACGTTCCCCAACCTGCTCGATACGACTGTCGCAGGCGGGGTCAAGGCTGAAGACTCGCCGTTTGACTGCATTGTCGCGGAGGCCACCGAGGAGGCTTCGCTCCCCGCGGCTTTCGTCAAGGAGAATGCTCGAGCTGTCGGAGCGGTCACATATGTCAGCATGAATCAGCAAAAGGGTATTTTCTTCCCGACTGTTCTCTACGTGTATGATCTTGAGCTTCCGGAGTCGATCGAGCCCGAGCCTGGTGACGATGAGGTTTCCAGCTTCAAACTCATGACCATTTCCCAGGTCAAAAGCGCCATGCTGGAAGAGCAATTCAAGCCTAACTGTGTTCTGGTAATGCTCGATTTCTTCATCCGCCACAACATCATCACACAGGAAAACAATGAAGAGTATCTGGAAATCGTCACGAGATTGCGGCGGCACCTGCCTATACCGACAAGCAAGGAACACTGATGGAGGATCTAGAATAAGACGACCGTGGCCTCGAATGATGAATTATGACGAGAGACGTGAACTACACGTTCTCTGGCTAAAGTCATTGAACGTGTTCTACCGAAACTTATATATCCATATAAATAACACCTACTTGGCATTGAATTCTTCTTGCAAAGCCTCATGTCGTGTTCAATTTCCTCCCAGTCGTCCGTCCCGGTAGTGGCGACGGCGTACAAAACACCATTGGGACCCCACTTCTTGCGAAGATTTAGCAGCGTCGGGTGGACAGGGTCCCAGGAGCCAGAAAGAATCTTGCCAGTCCGGCTGGAAAGGATCAGCTCGTCGGTCGGTATCAGTTATCACACTCCGTATGAAACTGACTCATGGTCAACTCACCTCGTTGACTACGTGCATCTCTCTGGTTCCGCCCTTCGCATGGTTGCTCGCATGGTAGCTCGCATGGTTGCTCCCTAGCCAGTGCTACGGCCGATGAAGTCGTGACCCGTGTTGCGGATGATCAGGCGAAGGTTATTGTCCAGATCGAAGTCGACACCGGCCTTGATGTGCTGCTTTCTGGTTACCTTGATCGCATAGACACTGTAGTAACCCAGCGTGCATGCCAAAATAGCACTTGCAGCCATACTGCTTCCCTGCCATGTCCGAGGGATAAGCCCGACGACATCGGCAGGACTAGCGTACGCGCCATTAACAACGATCGCCGCGCTTAGAGCGAGAGCTGACAACTGTACCATGGTAACGGTAAACCTGGAGTTCAAGGAGCGTGCTGGTCTCGAATCTGCGCATCGGCGGACGGGAGCTTAGCAGTGTTATTTAACCTCGATGAGATACAACTACGGTCTATTGTTTCCTGTATCTTCTAGCTCCGCTTAGAGTCTCTTTCTTCATTGAGTTGTTTCTCCCGGCTCGGCTGAGCTCCAGACCTCTGCAGCATGGGGCTACATTCAGCCAACATACAGACTGCACGATGCTACTCGACGTGAGCGAGAGGGTTCACATGTACACTGGCAATCCGTGTCGAAATGAGCCCGAGAAAAAGGAGCAGCTATGCACAGTAGAGCTGTTTCACCACATACTCAACACTATCGCTTCTGATATTATCACCTACAGAGACACAGATCGGAGTATCATAGATCATCTGCGTTACTGTATGACGTTTCTTGGTCTCAAAACCACCAAGCTTACTGCAGGGGACTTCAATTCACTGCACCTCGACTTCGCCGCCAATAACACTCAGCCGGGTGGGGAAAGGGAGGAAGAAAACATACCTTTCATGGCCGCATGAATGCGCATAGAGTTCAGCCCGGTTATTTCGTGAAGTCCATCCACGACCCTGTTAATCATTTGATGCTTTTTGGCCTCTCTTATTCTCTCTCGGGTAGTCTTCCTATTCCCATCCGCGTTTTCTGATGTAGTCGCTAGGCCCGCAAGGAGTTTCCAGAGATTTGGCGGCATTCCCGCCGGAACTGCGCCGGGGTTTTTTCGCTACATTCAAAGTGAAGTACCGGAAAACTAGATTGTTGCTTGAAATCAAATGGTAGTCAAAAGCTGCGTTGTCCGAAACAGAGCGAATGCCCGTTGCTATGCTTTCGATAATGGCTTCCTGCCGAATACCGTCATCCCCAGCCCTGTTTTTACAGTAGCTGGCAAGGTCATACGTCTACTCACCTACAACGCCATTTTTAGAAGGCCTACATATACAGGCCACGGTTAAAGTAAGGTCTACCTAGACCAACAGTCGTTCCACGCTATCAGGTATTTCGTACTACGTTAATATATCAAGATCTAGCACAGGCCAGAGGTGCTACTATATCAGATTATACGCACTATAACTTTATTTCCGTACAGGGTGAACTATACTAGACTGTTTATAGGGGGCTAGAACAACAACTTACACTAAAGAGGACCAGAATAGGTAAGTCCTTCGACGTTTATGGTAACATTCTGTTGCCCTAGTACTGAGTCGCAGACAGGGGGGCTCGTGATGCGACTTCGCCTCTCGCAAAAGACCCCAACTGAGCCCCAGACTCTGGAGGAATGGAGCATCCGCATCCTTCCGTACCTCGCTGATCAGATATGTGCATGACGAGAAGATGCGCAATGCTCTTGTATCAGCAGCAATCAGCACGATAATGTGCCAGCGTGGGTAGAGATTGTAGAAACGAGAAGAGAACAATGCCGTATTTGCTACAAGTAAACTTTGGACTCATGTGGTCTTGCATTGATAACAATTCATGAGAGTTTGGAGAAAGGACGAATTGGATTTGAGCCTCTCGACTGCGGTCTGATGGGTAAACTTTAAAATTGTGTTTATGAGGTACCAACACGTGTGCCATCCATTACATATCCATGATGCCAGAGGAGACCAGATATCCGAATCCCAAAGCCACACCATCGACAAGCGACCATCTAAATAACCAAGCAATGAGTTTCAAATAACCATTCATTGCTCTGAATTCCATCCAAACAAGCCCAGCCGATTCCAAAACATACCCGGGTTCTTGAACGCCCCGGAGTCACGCTTCGCGTCAGAGGCGGGAGTGGTGGTTGCACCGGCATCGCCAGCAGCGATGGCGGAAGGAGCGTTCTCCTCAGCCTTGTAGATTTGAAGGAGCGCCGGACCGCCGCAGAACGTGCTGGGGTTGCCAGTGCAGGGCGAGTTGCAGTCTGTCTGGTTCGTTGCCCACTCGCCGCCGACGTAGGAGCCGCACCAGCACTGGTTGCCGTTCTGGAGGCCGGCGTACTGGTAGAAGCGGCGGTAGCAATACTGCCAGCACTTGGGGACGCTCAGATACGGGTCGCCGTTGGGGGTGAGGTTGGTGCCGAGGAGGGGCATCTCCGGGTCCTTGACGTAGCAGCCCATGTTTGTCCAGGCCGTTGGCGAAGGGCCGAGGGTGGGTGCAGTGGAGGTGGGCGAGCTGGTGGTAGTGGTGGTTGAGGTCGTTATCTGGGTAGCGGTTACCTTCGTCCATCTAATGACGCAGTATGAGTTCCTGTTGTACCATGACTTGCAGTCGAGACCAACGACTGAACTCTTCCGGGGTACCTTGAAGTAGTCACGCACCCATTCGTAGGTCTTGTCATCCTCGTTGTTGAACCAGTCGGCGCAGTCAGAGGTTGTCTCCGGGTCGTAGGGGAGCAATGGGGTGTTCGTGCAGCTCGCTTTGTGCGCAAGAAGCGTCAGCTCAACAAGAGCCACAAATGAGAGGTCTTCATGATGGAGCTACAGGACTGGCTCAGCAAGCGACTGTTGTGGTGCAGGTCCAAGAAAAGGAAATACAAAAGAGCGGCAGCAAGAGAGTGAAAGTTTGAACAGAAGAAGACTCATGTCAATCAAAGAAAGTTGGAAAAACTCTGGAACTGGGTCTACAGTGAGTACTGGCATGTGGAATAGCCGGCCTTGGATTTGTATTCCAGCTACGCCGCTGCTGTGTATCAAAGTTGGCCGTAGCGGACTGTAACTGCTACTTTAGGAGTTATCTTTCTTTTTGCCCCTTGTAGATTCACCTGTGATCTTGCCCACCTTTTTAGAGCCAAGTAAGGCTGAATCACGAGGGTTCTTAGGTGGTTAAATTAGGATTGTCCTGTGACTGTAATAAGCTTAGCTCCCGTGGGAAGAGTTAGGCGAGCAAATGCAGAGGGCTGTCCTTGCAGCACCTTACTAGTTAGCGATATCGGTTTAGAGATGCCTACACTAGCCAGCTGCCTTACCCTGTTGATTTTATTAACTGCGCGGAGTTGCTCCATTTGGGGATAGACAGATCCTACCCATCTTTAATTGGGCAAATGTTTCTAGGCAGTCTTAGGCAATGAATCTAATTGGCTTTACCCCGCCCAAGGTGGAAATATCCGCACTTGATCGAATAGATAGACAAGGCAAGCGGACACCCTTTCTGTCACTCACCAGGCACCATAATCAATTTATTCACCGTATGGCGCAGCACTTCGAGAATTATCACCAGGGCGGAATCACCGTTCCATCGCCAGTCGCTGACCTGGATAATCCGCTTTCTGGCCAATAGACCTCTGCAAAGGGCCTCATTTCACCTCATCTCAACCACCCAAACTAGCAAGCCGTCCGAATCATCCATCCGTCTCACAGTTCCTTTCTTCGCCAATTCATCCTGCTTTATCAGCAAGCATTTTCCGCGGCCCAACACTATGACTACCGCTACCACGGCGACGTTCCACCCATTTCTACATCTCCCCGCCAAGCTCCGCGCTCGTATCTGGGAGCTGACCGTCGAGCCCCGCGTCGTTGAGGTGCGCGTGCTCTACCATCAACCAAGCCCCACCGACGTCGAGGGATCCGAGCTAGTGGTCAAGTGGCCGCCGCGGATGCGCTACCTGTGCTCGCCTACCCCAGCCCCAGCCCAGCTGCAAACTTGCCGCGAGGCCCGCGAACACCTCACTACATGCCCCGATTCTGGATTTCGATTCGAGAAGGCCTTTTCCGAGCTCGCTACAACACCCCATAACGGGCCCGACCCTGTGTCCGAGGGTGGCCCGCGGCAGGAGCGCTATGTTTGGTTCAACTTTGATAATGACATGCTCTCTATTGGGAAGACGGATTTGCACGAATTCCGGGCTGTAGCCTACCAGATTCGCCGGCTACGGCTTCGGCGGGTCATCTCAGACGAGTACTTTTCCCGCACGGAGTCGCTGTTAATCAGCAGGTGGTTCAGGAATCTTACCGAGATTCATCTGATTTGTCCAGAGGGCATTAGGGCGGGCTACTTGATGACCGAAGATATGGACTTTTCCTGTGGTCCCCAGGATGTGTATTTTGTTGACCTAGAAGAGATGGGCCGGACCATGATGAACAGTATCGACCTGGATGCTATGGTGATCAGAGAGGACGAAGAGCTTTACGGGCCAGGAGAACACGGTTGAAGGAAGTTTCAAAAGGTCGTTGCCAGTGCTGCTGGCTGCAAATTGTGACTACCACTAGAAGCAGACGAAATGTCCGCGAGCCCCCATCCCATCCTCTCCGTACCTTGGATTATCCCTCAACATCAAGGAAAGTAGCCGTTGATTGGTTACTTCCAGCAACGGGTCGTTCGGTCTTTGATCGTCTTGTACGACCTGAGCACCTGCCAGTGGTCCCTAGCTTTGTGGTTGGCGGTATCCCCGCAATTAAAGCCGTCTAGCCAGGTGCGTACCTGGGCGCGGGTGTTGGCCGCGTTGGGGGAGTTGTTAATGGTGGCCTCCCAGTCGACATTTGACTACTGCGGCTTGTTGGAATTGTCGTTGTTGATCTGGCTGATGCGGTAGATGAAGTCGTTACGGTTGCTGTGCCCGTGCTTGACCGCCTTGCATACTCTGAAGATGTAAAGTGGCCGATTTTGGCCTCTCCAAGCCCAGAGATAGTTCACGGCCGTCTGCTGGGCGTCCAGAGAACCGTCAGGCCTGTAGGCTGCCTGCAACCGCATTCCTGGGCGCATGTTGCCTAGGAACTGCTGAAAGCCGTCGTACTTGCATTGTGTGCGGTCTGGTCTCCCCTGGCAGGGAACCCAGTTGCCGATGCACCTGTTCTGTCTCCAAGTTGTTGCACTGGTAACCGATCTGCCGATCACGCTTGGGGGTTCCGCTGGTCGATGAGGAAGGACTGGAAGAGCTAAACCTGCTCGAGGCAGTTTTGGTATCCTCTGGCCTACATGACCGTGATGAGGTAGGAAAGAGTACGAACGAGAGAAACCTTTATGGTGTAGGCATGTGGTAGTACGGTCCAAAGGCTAACGAAGGAAGAACCTCAAGAAGGCTAAAGGACGAATGCTTTGAAGAAGACCGAAAAAAGAACGCTCTCAAGAAAGCCAAAGAGCAAATACTTCGAAGAAGGCCAGCAAAATGAAATCATGTTGACGAAGTATTCTCAGGAACCTAATACATATGTGTAGGTGTGCCTAGATGGGGTTGAACCTTGCCTGGCCACTAAGCCAAAATTAACACTAAACTGGGCATACCGTATTTGGAATTACCTTGTACTTATTGATTACATCTTGGCATCTGCAATCCTTCTGCACGACTGTTCCCGTTCTACGCAGGAACACTCTCCCTCGTACTATGTCTAAGATGGGGATCATACACACTGGATGCCTATGTAGCCTCTAGGTAAGCCCATAAACCCAGGGTTCTATAGCGAACCATTATTGAATTTCCAGGTATTTTACTTCCTAAGTAATTAAAGCTACGGCAAACGGCACAGGCAACTAAAGTATTCTATTTAGTCTGGGTATGGAGTAAGAATATATTCTGCGGCGGAGCTAGGAGCAGCCATATCCCGCGTGCCCTGTCTAACTTTATATCTTACTATTACCCTAGGGTCTAGGTTCTTCTGACGTAAGTTAAGTGTAATTCGGATATCTCACTTGACGAGGACGTTGAGAACAAGGCTGAATTTCCGTTGGATCTGACTGATAGGCACTAGGTCTTGGCAGCGGCGAGGCTTTTCTACCTACCTAATTGGGGAGGCTGATATGTATTAGTGGGCTTACATTACGCAGCTAAGCCCCTAGTAGCGATCCTATGCACACTGAAGGTTACATTAAGTAGACTTTCTGGATGCCCCTTGAGCTACTAATTACAAAGTGAGCTTAATTGGAACTACAGGGGACAACGCCACCATACTTTATTGGCGTGGGGCACTTGTTAGGGGTTTAAATCCATTGCTTTTGATGATGACTCTTTTACTTTGCCTTTATAATATTCTTTATTAACTGCCTATAAACCAGTATGTCTGCTCTCCCTAGTCTACCCGCTATCCTTTGTAGCAATCCTCCCTTTACTCTCTCTTCTTTCTGCTTCTTTATCGCACTTCTTATATTTACTATCTTCTATTAGCATCTACACTCTGAACGAATTAACACACTCTTTCGGGCTTTTGCTCTGCCTCCTCCTTTCTATGAGAAGCCGCTGCACGAAGTTTAGCTATCTGAATGTCCATGAAGACTTCTTTTCTCTGCGCCCTTGTGGCCGTGGCAGCCAGGCCCTTGGCGTCCTTGGACCTTGATGCCTGGTAAACAGGATGAGATCGACAAATGGCTCTCAGCAGTGCAGGCCCAGCCTCTTGCAGCCCTCAAGTCATGCCCTATCTTATGCAGCACGACTAGTGACGACTCCTGGTTCCTTTTCCCGGATGCATCCCATTTAGCTCCTGTAACGGGACGATGCTGCTCAACATTGCTGTTCAGGCGGCTAGGGAAAATGAGAACAATGACACGCCAACCGTCATCAGGGCATGCATAGCAGACTACGACACTTCCAGGTCTATGAGAGTCGTCTTTGTGCTCAATTCGACCAAGGCATCCCTCTGCGTCACGTCCAACAAGGCGCTGGAGGAAGGCTTGATATACATGCACTAGCCCGGCCAGGGCAGCGAGTTCTTGGCGGGACATCTCATGTCTGCTGGCCGCTAGGTCAAGAGTTATCTCGCGTCTCAAGAGTCGTCATGCACTAACAACGCCATAGCCTTTGGCGACTCCTAGTCGGCAGCCATTGGTCATTTTGCTGGCGCCGAGGTGCACTAACACGGTGTGGCAGCCGATGTCCTAGACAAGTTGCTCGAGTATGCACAGGACAAGTCCATCTCTAGCAGCACAGTGGTGCAGCTGTGTGGAGCCGAGCACCGCGATACCGACTACAGCATCGGCATCGTGGCCAGCAGTGCTCAGAACCTCGAGTTTGTCCAGGAGGCAATCAGGACGTAGGCGAACTGCAAGTGTGTCTCCCAGGCGGATGCAGGCGAAGACTAAATGACTATTACCCTGCGCATTTCCGTTCCCGTGGAGGAGTTGTCATTACCCAAGAACTCCACCGGCAACGACACGGCCAGCTCTCACCAGCCCCCTGCTCGGGGTATTGATACCTCTACCGGTTTCTCTAGGCTGCTCTCCGGGCCAACTGCAGGTCCACCACTGTGCAAGCGGGTGAGAGCTGCTATGCCGTGGCAGAACGATGCAAAATCTCGCAGACTCAACTGCAGAACTTCAACTGCGCCAACCTTTGCAACTCGCTTGTGCGCGACGAGCGTGTCTGCTGCAGCAGCGGTACCCTCCCCAGCACCCTGCCTTCCGGAAACTCGGACGGCACGTGCAAGACACGCCAGGTTGTGCTGGGTGACGACTGTGGCTCATTAGCCAACAAGTGTGTAAGTTGAAATTGCACGGCACTGGTGCCCAAGCAGGACTGACAAAGGCCAACCAATAAGGAATTTATGGAGATGACTTCATGAAGGCGAATTCGAAGACCGGCCTCTGCTCCAGCCTGGCTGAGGGCCAACACGTCTGCTGCATTCGGGGCACGCTACCTGACCTGAGGCCTAAGGAGGACGCCGATGGCTACTGCGCCGTCTACACCACCAAGGAGAACGACTACTGCTCCAAGATCGCTGCGGGCCTCATGCTCACCGTGGAAGAGCTCGAGACTTTCGACAAGAACGCATGGGGCTGGAACGGCTGCAAACTGCTTTACCCTAAGTTCAACATGTGTGTCAGCAAGGGAGCCGCGCCTATGCTGCAATTGTTCCTGTAAGTGAAGATAGATCTTTTCACCTCCCTTGAGTCTAGTTGAATATCCTATGTACTGATATTATGTTTTGTGGCTCAGAACGCGATGTGTGGACCGACCATCGACGACACCGCCCAGCCTCCCGCTGGGGCCAAAATTAGCGAGTTAAACCCGTGCCCTCTCAATGTTTGCTGCAACATCTGGGGCTAATGCGGTATGACGGACGACTTCTGTGTCGTTTCTATGTCCGAGACGGGATCTCCGGGCACTATGGCTCCCGGCAAGGACGGCTGTATCAGCAACTGCGGCAGAGACATCGTCAAGGGCCCCGCGCCGGCAAAGAAGGTCAAGCTTGGCTACTTTGAGGGCTGGAACTTCAACCGCCAGTGCTTGACTTTGGATGAGGGCCAGATCAACACAGACGCCTACACCCACTTGCACTTTGCCTTCCCCAACGTCACGCGCGGCGACTTCCGCAGCAATGTATCGATTCCGTCGCACTGCCTGGAGAAATACATCGTCGATGTACAGATCGCCGTTTCTGACGGCGCGCTTAAGAAGTACAAGAAGCTCATTGACAACGGTTACGACAAGAATCCCTCTATCTGGGAGGGCTACATCAAGGAACAGATTCCTGGTCAGATTAAGAACTTCATGGCCACCGACAAGGGCGGCAAGTGCTTTGGCGGTGGCCATCCCAACACCACGTTTACCCTTGACGACCGGAACGGGTTCTTCAAGGACATTCTAGAGACATGGGGCATCGAGGAGGAGTGGATCAGGTTCGAGAAACGCCAAATGTCCCTCGCCAACAGTTGCCAGTACGCTGACAAGGATGTCAACGACTGCATTGCCTGGAATAGCATTTTCTTCCACGACTTCCCTACCATGGACAGAGACAAGACGAAAATGCACAACCCCAAAGACGTCATCGTCAAGGCTCTCCCCGGCACCAAGGGACTGCTCGACCGTTACCGCGACATGAAGACGTTTGCCGAGTTCGAGGACGACTTCGAAATGTCGAACGTTACCGACGCCGGCTCGCTGCCCGCCTTCACCATTGAGGAGGCGGTCGCGCAGATGGACAACATCGTCGAGGAGGCCAAGGAGATTGAGAAGAAGCGCCGTGAGGAGTTTATCCTCAACATGATCATGGGCTTCCTCTTCTTCATCCCCTTCAACGGCCCCACTGGCGGCGGTGTCATCGCGACCGGCGTGCGCACCTTGCTTCAGTTGGTCGAAGTCGGTGCCGAGGTCGATTTGGCCGTCTACAGCATCTTCCACGACCGGGACAAAGCCTTCATGACCGTTTTCAGCATCCTCCTGGGCACCGGCTTCAGCCGCGGCAAGTTCCGGGACGCCGCCAACTCAAGGCGCGGCATGAGCTCTGGCGAGTATAACACTCTCGGCAACGTCAAGCCCAAGCTTGACTCGAATAACAATTTCTGGGGTGGCTTTTGTTCTGTAGCTATAAGATCTTAACAGCAGGAAATCACAGTTAATTCCCGTGCTACTTACAGAATGAACTAGAGATGTGTATAATGAGGACGAGAGATAGCCACTATGATTAATCTACTTTACACCTATCGGCTTGCGACTTTATTCTGTGTGTACTACGACTCAAGATATGACACTTTCTCTCAATGCATAATAAGACCGCTTTAAGGCTTGTCTAGGAATTGGGGGCTCTGATCGTAATGTTTCAAAGCATCTCGCTATGTCGAGACAGCAAGGACATGTACCGAAAATGAAGCCCTTTTGGTACTTGTGCCCACGATAATGGCTGTGCGAGAGCCAATGAAGGGTTCGTCTGACACAGTACCGAACAGATTTCTTGTTCACGAAACCGCGTTGTTCAAGGGCACTCTGAAAACAATTATTGCGATTCATGGGACACGATAGGAGAAAGGGGTTATGCTATTACGGAGCAGGAAGAGTTAGAACTGTTTAGTTAGCATGCATCTTTTCTCTCTTGCCACCAGAGCCGGGAGCCCAGGCTTAATCGCACACAATACCCCATATATTCGCATCACTTCATGTTGCTATATCGATTCGGATCACCAGGTAGCTATCTCAAACAAAGAAAGCCTCTTGATATGCCGTTGAGACTTAAAACCCTCTGTGATACCTCAGATACGTGGCTTGTGACTGGTGCTTGGTAGCTGTGATTCTTCACAGTTCTTGTTGTCGTTATGCCTTTCCACTAACCGGAAGAATCGGATAGAAGGCTAGAACATTATTCATGACTAACTATCAATTCTCAAGCCTAGTTATGCTTCTTGAATTGGAAGCTAAAGCCTGCTCAAGTCTGGGACCTTCTGAATATCTTTACAGGCATCCCTTCTTTGGGATGAGAGGTGATTTGTGTTCCCGTCATCCACTGAAAACCCTTTTCTCCAAAGATCTCAGGCGCATCATTAGCAAATTGAGGCACAACATCCAACTCCCTAACCGTCAACGCCAAGATGAGACGCATTTCCATCATAGCGAGCTCTTGCCCAATACAGTTTCTTGGCCCAAGCTCAAATGGTCGGAAAGCACTCTTCACCGGATGCAACGGGTCACCCTCCTTGACTAGCCATCTCTCAGGGATCACCTCGTCCGGCTGGGGCCAGAATGATTCCCAGCGGTGCATGGTCTGGGACGTAACATATATCATGCAGCCGTCCGTGGGAAACCGCTCGCCAGTCTCTGGGTGAGTGAGAAAAACATCGGGCGCTCCTTGCCTGACGGTACCGACAGGTGGGTAGAGGCGCAACGTCTCCTTCAATACCGCGTTGGTGTAGGTCAGCTGATTCAGTAATGCTGGATCCTCAGCGATGCGCGAGGCTGCAAGACTCGCGTCTGTCCCGAGCACTTCATCGTGCTCGGCCCGTACCTTTCCAAGGATTTCTGGATACGTGTTGATGAGGTAGTACGCAAAGCACAGCGTACTTGATGTAGTATCGTGGCCTGCAAGCAGGAAGATTTTGAGTTGAGATATAGCCGTATCGATAAAATGTGAGTCTAGCTTCCTTTCTGTCTCAGAGCCAGTCTTTGTGACCTCCTTGATGTATGAGGCAATGGCGAGGCTGTTGATAGTTTTGGGATTGTTCTGTTCAAAAGCGCTTTCGCGCATCTGACGCTCAACGTGCGGGAGGATCTCACCCTTCATGATGTAGTTGTGATAGCGCATCAAAAACGGACGAATAGGGTTGATTGACTTCATGATATTTGCCGGTCCGTTGTCTGTAATAAGAAGGCGGATTTGTTTCTGAAGGGCGTTAAAAAGGGGAGACTCGGCTGTCTGAGCGTGAAGACGTGTGCCTCTGGTGCACGCATAGGTCAGTCTGACGAGCTCACTTGCAAGGCAGGTCTGTCAGATTGACTCACAGTACTACGCGGCCAATAATATCCACCGTCGCTCTCATCATTCCAGCTTCTAACGGCACGGTCTCTCCTGAATCAGCGAGCTGTTCAAGAGACTTCCTCATAACCAGTGCTTCTTCGACCATCGCAGGTACCAGTAAGAGGATGTTGCGCGCCGAGAAACCGGGATTGAAAACTGCCCGCCACGTCTTCCAGGTGGGACCTTCCATGTTTACGAGATCGTTGTTACCAGTGAGGGGTTCGAACTCCTCCTTCATCATGGTGTGCTTGGGCAGCGAACGCTCTTGCGTGAACTGGTCTGCAATCTGCGGATGAAAGACAGCGAGCATCGGCGGCCCGATTGGCCACGTGTCGACATAAACAACACCCTTTTTGCATAGTTCTGGATATTGTCTCAGCAAAAGCAATGGCATGACCATGCCTGTGAGACCTGGAGGTTGCTTCGCCATCAAACTGCCAACCAGAAGCAGGTGACCAAAAACAAACGAATGAGGTAGAATATCCTGCAGTTGTCAGCTGCTGTCCAAGGGAGGAAAATCAGGTAAATTTTGAGCTGTGCATATCTGGCTCATTGCTTACTACTCCATGTTTTTTCGAGATCGCACGAATCTTGGTTCTGACTTGATACAAACGAATAAAGAACTTGACGATGTAGCACGCAGCGAGAACACCCAGCGCCCGACAGCAGAGTCCTAGGGTCAGTTCCATCGCTGAGAGGGTAAGGATAGAATGAACAAATTGCCGGGCACAAAGACTCTTGGCTCCAGAACTCACAAATGAATTCTTAACCTAAACCAACGAACAGAATTGTGTCAACCCGCAATGGAGTGGAAGCTTTTATGTCTTTGAAGATGACATTTCTTCGACGACTGAGGCGGGGTTATCCAATCAAGTAAGCGAAGATGTCGAATGTACTGACTCCACTTTATCCCCACTCTCATTTTCCACTTCAGTCAGCTTGTACTTCTGTTTTGCTCTGTGTGTCTACCTGAAAAATAGTCTGCTTGTATCCCATCGGGCATCGGGTGTGGACGCATGTCATTTTGATTTCTCCGTTGTTTTTCCAAGAATCGTTTCAGCTGAGTTTCTCGATTGGACGGAAATATGCTGGCAGTAGACTGACGGGCACCCTCCGCGTCTTGGCAAAACTGAAGTGACTCCGTAGCCGATGGGATATTCCAAAGGAGACGCCGTCTGACATAAGCAACGAATCTAGACAATATTGGTAGATAAAGTGCCAGCTTCCTATTGGATAGATGCCACGACATCGCAAACTCTGGGGCAACCTGGCGTTAGTGACAAATGAGATTGCCATAGCGCAAGGATTAGGCAGTCACCAATCCGTGGATCATTGTTGTCCGGGGCTGTTGCCAGGGGGTTTGGTGGTTTTGGCTGTCTTTGCTGTATCGTACATCCGTAGTTACTGGCCAATAGTTGGCTCTTTTTCGGAACATAAAGTTGCCTTGTCCGCTTGTGCCTGCCGTCATGGTTGATAATCCCATGAACCCACCTACGAGATTAGAATCCGAAATCGAAAAATATTGTTGTCTTTTGCATCTTCCCTGGGGACGGGTTTGAGGGTTTCGTAAGACTATGATTGATATGACGTTTGATGTTTTGTTATTACCATAACGTGGGGTAAAGCACCTTGAAAGGGCTGTGGTTCCTTCTGTTTCTCAAAGTTAAAATCATTTGTATTGTGAAGAGAATTTTTCTGCTTTTCTATAGACTTATACTACCTATTCGCTCTTCACACACGAACATCGACCCTGTTGAGCTCGGCTATATCCTCACCTGCCCCTCCTAAGAATTGATTCATCTCTTCCTTATCCTCTGGAATATCGAAGAACACCGAGCCAGAATACAGTGTGTCTGATCCTACAGACGCAACGTCGGAATTGTCCAATTCAGTACTTTCGGGCGGTGGAATTCTGTGCTTCGCGAGGATCTCCCTTATGCCATCCCGGTATTCTGAAACACTCTTGTGTCGGTATGCACTCAGAGCCACTGTTGCACTCTTCTTTCGAAGCGCTTCCATTGCTATAGTTGACACAAGAGGTATGAGCTTGTTGATCTCCTGATGAACCAGTCTTCGTCGAGACTTCATAACCTGGGTGTCATCTTCTATACCCGGGACATTGCTCTTCGTGTACATGGCTGTCGTGCGCTCGATCTTTTCCCGGCTCACGCTCTTGCCACCCTCCTGGAAAGCTTGATCGAGAATGAGGATCAAGTCGCAGGCGCATTTGATAACCATCCGTGCCGCTGCCGGCGCCTCGAAAAGCGGCGCTCCGACGATGAGGGGAATGCTCCCCACTACTGTGGTTGCTGTCAGAAAACCAATGCCGCCCCAGATTACGCTGAATTGACCGAGCGTCTGCGCCATGAAAGAAGACAGATTCGCCCATACAAGGTGACTCAAGATAGAATTGATCTCGTCCACCTTTGCCGAGGGCATACCAAAACATCCATGGGCAATCTCGTAGCAGAGGTGCCTTGATATCGAAGGCGTTGCTACAAACGATGTAAGTCCGAAACCCGCCCCCAAAGAGGCAGTGTTCACCGCTGTCCGAAGAAGCCTTAAGGTCTTCTCAACGGCTTGATCGATTTTGGCACCAATATCTGGAATCTGGGCTGCGATCATTGCTTCCGATGTTACGGTGTCACTAAACGAGCCCATCGTCTTATGTATTAGCTCTTTGATGGACTCCTGGTCATCTTAAAGAGTCGTAAGTCAGCACGAAGCAAAGCAACTATAACTATCTGTGGCCAAATGGTCTTACCGCGGGATACAAAAGCGAATTTGGCATCCAGCTGAGGCCAAATATCAGCTGTTTCGGGTTCAGTTTCGAATTTGCTCCTGAACAGCGCTTCTCGGGCTGACAACAGGTCTGTCTCGATCTGTTCTGCCGTCTCGATTCCGTGACCGGGATTTCCAGCATTAGTGTCTAATCGACGCAGTTTGATGAACTTGTCCTTTTTAGTCCCCACAATCACAAGGGGGATACCAGGAGCGTTCTTAGTAACCTCCTGGAGTACATTTGATAAAGCCGATTGGACAGGACGATCAGTGTCCGTATCGATGCACAGCCTGATAGAACAACAGTCAGTGGACGTGCCAAGCGCCTTGAAACCTCCGAAAAGAGTGCCCTGCCATACCATATTGCGTGAAGCTGGTCTTGTATGTCCTTGCTATCGGCCCGCTTCTTTAGGAACTTCTTGAATACCGCGACCTCCTTCTTGTTGCCGGCTTGAAACCCCTCCGAGTCATGTATAATTATGCCTGGATGCTGATCGGATTCGAATCCATCTTCAATGTTATGTTCGCCCCTCTGGTCTGAATTTTCTTGGGTCTGGCCTATGTAAGCTTGCGTCGCGAGTGTCATTAAAGTTTTGCATACCATTGGAAAGCCAAAAACTCTATTGAGAAGGGTGGATTTTCCAACACCAGTGTTGCCACAAATGAGTATCCTGCAAGTTGAGTGCTCCGGCAGAATATCTCTAACCCATGGATCGGATACCATATCTTCGCCGTTCGAGACGTACGTCATACACTTTTCCCTGAAGGACTTCAACGGCCCATCCAAGCTTTGCAGAGCTTCCTTTATCCCTAGTGCAGGGTATGTGTCCAACAGGAAGTACACAGATGGGTGGATAATCGTCTTTTCGTGTGCTGAGTAGGAATTGGTCAGTATTACATCTATAGAAGAGGCAATCGAGAGGGATTTTACTGACATGCCATGTCGTAGCCCTGAAGGCTCTCAAATTCATCTGCGTTGAAAATTTGCCGTTTACCAAGGGTTGTTAAGCTGCCAAAAACACTGCGATTCAACTGAACGTTGTGTGTGGCTCTTCGTAGCCCCTGCTTTTTCAACTTGTTATGCAGCACAGTCTGTAGATTCCCGTGTCGATGAGAGCGTCTGAGATCGTACATAGTGACCTCTATCCCGTTAGAGTACCTGTAAGTCCATGACTGAGGCTTAGCGGGCTCGTAAGGATCAGCAGCCATGTCGAGTGGTGGCGGACTCGGAAAAGCCAGTCTCAAGGGGTCTTGTATCAGATCTTTGAGCTGGGGCCGAGGATTGTACTCAAGTTCCAACCCTAGATCTCGACTCTCTTTTAACATCCACTGAAGGGGGTATAGAGAGAGCCCGTCATCGACGCCTCCTCCACCCATATCCCCGTGCGTGCCCACAAACCACGCTTGCAAGTAGGATCCGTCTTCTTCTCTTGTCGGACCCGTTGGGTGTTGGGATTCGTACAGAACTGGTTGAAATGGCGGTCGCTCTTCATTCATTGCTATGGCGTGTCGAGCTTGCTTTATGGAGCTGACATGAGAAATGTCGAATTCATCTTCGTCTTTGTACTGCTTGACTGTATCGAACAACCCCAAGAGTTTGATGATCGGGGGCTCACGGCCATTCTCTTGGCTTTAATGCTACAGTTAGTAAACGCTGAAGTATATCAAATGGCGATGAAACCACTTGCCCGAACCAAAATTTCTGGCCGTTCATCCCCTCTCCCGCGGGATTCTTCTTTCGTGGGCCCAGGCGTGTGATACGTTTCCATATTGACTTATCTGCGGCAAGGGCAGCTTCTTCTTTGAGTGTGTTATTATGCAGCAGAGCAGCTACAGCTCGTACTACGTCTTTGCTGGATGTTAGCTGGCTTTTGCTTCCTGCGGTGTGATAGACAGCTTACAGGCTCCGCGGCTGAAACCATACAGCCATACTTCGTCATCGCTTGATTTGATCTGAGTACAACAGTACTAGAACTGGTAAGCACATGGTCTCAAGAGATGTACTGTATTACACACGTAAAAAACTTCCTCAATAAGCTGTTTGCATGGGCTCCCATAATAGCCGTCTTTGTATTTTTGGAATGTTATTTTTTCAAGGCCAATGCCGGGGAAATACTTCGGAATCTGACGTATGTGTGTTAATTAGGATCTCGTTGCGACTCGTAGGCACTCATACCTGCTCAACGTCGTTTCCATTTGAGTCTGTGAACTTGCCGAACCTCACTGAGGCAAATATTCGGAAGACATTTGTATTGTTGCCCACGCCCTTGCCTGGGCTACGGTTAGTACAGTAGGCCAGGCAGTTGTATTTGTCGTGTCATATCGACTTGCCTTCTTTACCGTCAGGATTGTAGAATGTTCCATCGACGCAAACTACAATTCTTCTGATACGTGACCTGCTGCTCATGATAGCCGTAGCGGAGGTGTCTAACACGTCGTCGACAACCAGATACTCGAAATGAACTCAGCAGATTTTTGAGCGTGACACAAAAGAACAATGAGCTGAGACAACGTGAACAGCACCACACGTCCCAATATGTGGTGTTCAACGAGTGGGATTGCGTCAAAATTAAGCGGGATGCAAATGTGTTATCAATAAACACGAGCAGCTGAGGGGAGTTGTCCGTCTCGTCCAATGGGCTCAAGACCCCGAGCTCTGCTATCGAGATAACGGTAGAATGAAAGGAGTACTAGGTGTTGACAACATGGTGCAACCCGAAACCATGCACATGAGGATAACAAACATTCCCGGTTCGCCAGAATCTAACAACCCTGTTCGTGGCTGATCGATGGTTCGGATGACTGCGTGCAAAGGGAAGCTACCAACACAGAAATAGTGGAAGGCGACCAATCAACACTTGGTAGGATGCCAGATGTCTCGCAATGTCAGCAGCAGGATTCATGGGAGGGATGAATGGATGAAAGCCTGATGTAGCCGAGATTTGATTCCGCCCTTGACAATGATTACACATTGATCAGCCTGGTCAACAGCGCTCAGTACTCTGTAGGTCTGCGTAATGATTACCCATCACCTGAAGCCACATAGTCACTTACTCAAGTCCGACTCAGAAGGCACTACTTGATTGCCACCGGGATCCAGGAAAGTGGTTGCGGACTGTAACAAAATCGCAGCACCCCGATACCTGGATCACGACGTCATTTGAATTGACGGATGTGTCGGGGCAGTCGGGAAAATTGTTCACTCTATGCTGGTCTATTAGCATAGATTCGTCTTCACAGAAAACCTGAAAAATCTCAATACAAATTCGAGCCTCTACAGACAGATAACTCTGGCGGGAGGGGTTCACACCTCTAGGTGTAGCTCAAACTTTGGCTGCGTCACAAAATGTCAGCCCAAAGCCGTCATCCTACACCCACATCCTGCAGACGGGCTAGATCTTCCAAATATGAACACTTGACATGTATTTTCGACATGCGCTCTCGAGAACTAGCGTCTTGGTAAGTCAGGATACCCACTTTCGGATCACCCCCACATCCGGATCACACAAAATGCCACATCTCTGCTCCTAGCCTCCTATTTATAACTATTACAACTTTTACAACTATTATCTAAATAAGCTCCTTTTTTCACTTTATCTTTTTTTTGACCTTATAACTTAGTATATAGAGTATGAAGTTATCCAGGCGCAGGAAGCTGTTGCTAGTAGTATTAGCGTGCGCAAAGCAGCCCAGACCTATGGGATCCTATACACCACCCTTCAACGCCGTCTAACTGGCGCGCAGTCTAGAGCAGCAGCTTTTTCTAACTTCCAGAGACTCTCTGTTAGTCAGGAAGCTAAGCTGGCTAGCTGGGTGTAGATCTAGGCTGATCTTAGGCTTGCGCCAACATATTAGCAAGTCAGAGAATTTACTTAGTGTATTTTGAATGCGATGGGAGATACTTAGCCTCTAGGGAAGAGATAAGTGAATGCCTTTATATAAAGAAACTTATTTATTAAGGTCTAGAGAAGTCGATCTATTGATTCTAGACGTGTTAATAGGGCATCTACTAAGGTTATTAGGGACTAGTTCAGATATCTTGTGATCCTAGCTATATTAGCTATTTAACTAGCTAATAGATATAATATAGATAAGACTAGTATCCTTAAGGGTTAAGGAGTAAATGGGCTAGTGCTAGGTAAGGCAGAGACTAAGTCTATGTGGAAAAAGTAGCCTAGATTGTAAGCTTAGGTATCTATTATTAAGTATATCTTAGCTAAAGGCCTAGTACTATATCCTCTTATGATATAACTTAGAATATGTTGGTAATATTCTTAGATAGTCACAGGGAAGTAAAGAGACTTAGTGAAGGTAAAGGTAGAAAGATAAGGTTATTGTATTTATACATGCTATTATATCTTCTTTTCTTTCTAAAAGGTAAGAATATCTTAGGCTTATATCCTTTTCTTGATATCTTATTAGTAATATAATTATCTAATAAAATAATCTTATCTGGAATCTAGGAGTTGGTTTTCTGGAATCTAGGGTTAACTAGATCTAAGGCTGGAATTCTAGGGTTAACTAGATCCAAGACTAGAATTCTAGGGTTAACCTGATTTTTATAAGCCTATCTTATATATAAATAA